GCTTGTCCAATAAATTTATTATCAAAGTGTTACGACACATACGGGAGACGGCGTCTATTCTTAGAGGCAGACTTCACAAGACTGTCACAGGTAAATAATGTCAGTGTAGTGTTGTGACGCTGGCTAGTGACGTAACCCAGTGATATTTTGTGCCAAGAATAGATCCGCTGTGATAGACGCACGAGAGACACCTGACCGAACGACCAGCGACAATAACAACGTAGTCATATTTTAATGATCGCTTTCATCTTGTTACAGATTAAATTTCAATACCTATTACTTTATTTTATAAAGAACATTTTTCAAAGAAACGTCAATGTGTCAATATGTCAATGTCAATTAAAAGCTTGAAAACTTAACAAAGTCTGTCATTTAAGTCGAATCTCACTCGCATATGAATATAGGTAAGTGTAGTGTGGGAAAGCCATGCTTCAGCAAGAATGGGACGGCTCGACTGGATGGATACCACGACCTCACAGAATACCGGCGAGAAGCAACAATTACGTTTTGTTTCGCCGTGTGATTGAGGTTACCATAGTTGTCCAATCCTTCCCATGCCCTATCCTCGAATCCCTAATATAATAACACAAGATAGGCTGGTAAGGCACTTGTAGTAACTCCTTTGGAATAACGAGTGTCTATGAGCGGCGATCATTGCTTATCATCAGCTCGTGTGCCAGACTATGCTATAAAAATATAATAGCCAAGCGATGAGCAGCATGCCTTTTTCCATTTTAGCTGTTGAACAAATAGTATAGGCGAATATGTGTTTCATAGCAGATTTTATATTGGTATTTGATTCCATTGTATATAATAAAATGGTCGTAAATAACAGGGTAATGACCTCATAACATCTGAACGCACCTTGGTAGGTATGGCACCGCACATAATATATTATATCGCTTTATAACATATCGAATCGCGAGTATTTCAAATAAAGAAAGACATTTATTAAAAAAAAGAAAGAGATTTTCTTTTCGAGCTATTTTATTTTGTTTTTTTTTCTGTTCACCGAGTAATATTTACATCGAGATTTAAATATGGAACGAAGTTCGTTGTTCTTTTTTATGTTCATCACGGAATAACTTCCATTGTTTCGAATTGTATCAGTTGTTTTTATTTTATGTGTTTGTAATGAAATTATAATTAAATGAACAATGTTACACGATATTTTGTTTATGTACACATCCCTGATTTATGTATGTCTGATCAGATATACATGATGTTTTTTGTTTGCTAGTTAGTTAGTAGAACCTAGTTAGGATCTGATAAAAAAATTCTAGATCCAAGATCGGGAATCGAGTGCGGGAGTTTTGAAGATAACATCTTCAATTAAGTATTTATTACTGAAGCAGAAAAATATTTTTGAGAAATTAATGCTGTTTAAATCTGTAAGCAATCTTGGTGCAAGTAAATACACTACTAAAATAAAAGCAGTTATCCTAATCGGGTCGAAACTGTAGTTTTAGATAATCATGAATACCAAAAACTATCTTAATGTACGTAGTATGCAGTATACAAATCTCAGCGATATATTTATTTATAGTATAGGTAACTTTTGTGAGACATATTATATTTTTACCAAGTTCAACGGCTTAGTCATATCAACTATAAAATGATTGTTAAATATCAAATATGAGGCACCCAGTTGCCCACAAAGCGTGTCACACATTTCATCAATCATTACAGCGAAATACTTAGTGAGAAATGCGAGAATATTTTCAACACATTGTTGGATTAATTTATTCAAAGAGTATTTATGTGTGTCGACGAAAAGAAAACATGATTTATAAAACCGAGAAGTTCGGGAAACGAGAATGTGAAAGATTTCAAAAGTACCTATTAAGAAATTAATTTCCACTATTTCAAAATTAAATGATGCATTCCAAACAGCAGCTGCTTTTCCACGTTCCTCTAACAGAATGGAAGTAAATGGAGTGTGAATGTTTTTTATACTGAAACTGCGTTATACATAACTGACTTATAAATATACAAAGCAATTATTTTTCCTATTTTTCCGTTTCTTTAGAATTGGCTAATATTGTGCAACTACCAGTTTGGGATTTTAAATTATGTACAAGGTACATTGTTAAAATACTGAACTACCTATGCAAAAAATGCACACAAGTTTCAACAATTAAAAAAATAAAACATAAAATTTTAATACTTAAATGCTACCTGAAAATCACCGCGTTTGTCGTAAAATTAACTTTTTAACAGTCAATAAAACCAATGTAATGTAACAGAATTTTACATATTTAATGAAAATATTGAAAGAAATGTTTAGGTAGAAAGTAATGATATGTATGTCGTCCTTTATTTAACCGACTTTTTATTGGGGGAAAACTAACTTAGTATTTTAAATCACTATTGCTATTTTAATTTAGTTGTTTTATCTACTTAAAATACCCATAAATAGGTAGGTACGTAAAATCCCGGCAGCCACAGATTTTAGTCGATCAAAAATTTTGAAATTCGAATGTAAAAAACTTTGGAATATTATATTAGGCAACACCCGGCATAACAGTATCATTGGTTATTAAATACGAATTTTAATAGTGTTCTCCACACAAAAAATGTTTGTTGTTCATGATTACTTTATTAATTAAAATATATGTATAAATATTTTTTATGCTATAGCACAGCAAACAAGCATACGGAATTACCTGATAGTAAACAATCAGCGCCGCCCATGGACGCTCGCAGTCGCAACAACGGAGGAGTTACGAGTGCGTTGCCGACACTTTGGGGATTAGAGTTTTGGAGATTTATAGATTGGGGAAGGATTAGAACTCCACTTTCCTCACTCACACGGCGAAACACAACGCAACACAACGCTGTAGTTGTTTCCACGCCGTTTTTCTGTGAGGATGTGGTATCAGTGACCTCACTTCTGTCGAGCAGACTCATTCGTGCAAAGCATGGCTCTCCCACACTTGTTCTCCCACGATTGTTATTAATTAACAAATACGGAAGAACAGTATATTTACATACTTGTTGTGTCCGTAGAATAGTTTTAAGTTTTATTAACTTGTGTATACATGTTTTAGTTTACATGACTATAAATAAACTAAACTTTAATAACATTTTGTCCTTAATAAATTAATAAAAAAATTGTCAAAAAGGAGTGCTCTTAAAAATGTTTTAGTCCCGAGACTTATTGACCGACTTGGTAAAATATATTGTTTATGTAATAATGGGTACACTGAACTTGATTCTTTATCAAGTTCAGTGTATTTAATTGTATTAGGTATAAGTACCCAAGTATTGTATCATTTCATAACTAACTAAAAAATATACATGTGTATAATATAAGTATTGTTTATCAACATCGACCAGAATTTTTGTTTGCTTAGTTATTAAAATCGTATAGTATTTTTTTTATCGTACATGTTTACTGCCCCTTATCTGTACAGGAAAATGTTAGGATATACCGTTCGTAGCAACAAGTGAGGTCACAATACATACATACCTATTTATATGGTATGAATAACAATACTTATATTTGTTTAAAATAACTTCCATATTTAGTGGAAACAATAAAATTCAATAAAATAAATACTACAACAATATGTAATTTATTATATGTATACATAATATTATAAAGAGGTAAAATTTGTAACTTTGTAAGTTTGTATGTTTGTACGTTTGTATGTAGAGGGTATTCTTCGGAATTTTGGCAATCCGACTAGCGCGCTGGTAAAATTATTTCACTGATAGGTAGCTACAATGTTCCTGAGTGCTATAGGCTATAAAACATCGAGCTACGATCAAACGGAGCAGAGGAGCGGGTGAAACAGCGCGAGAGTAGCTAGTATGTTATAAAAATAAATAACTAAAATAAATAAGTACTCCTCACGATCGCGCTAATACCGGCGTGAAACAATTACAGCATTGTGTTTGGCCGTGTGAGTAAGGTTACCAGAGGCCCAACACCGCTCCTCCCCACATCGTTCCCAATCCTTAAATATCCGAAACCATTATCCCCAAAAAGACTCCTTTGGGCGTTGCGTGTGCCCAGGGCGGCGCCGATTACTCACCATCAGGTAATAATATACTTACTAGTAGATACCTAATAATATCGATATAAGTACATATAAGTATGGTGCCATAAAAATGTCTGCCACGGCTTTGAAAAGAAGTTAATTATTGGAGATTGTGTTTATAGATTACAATAATGAAGAAATTTTATACCCCGGAGCAGTAGAAAAATAAACTAGTTAAGTTAAGATTGGTTCTATTCTGCATAATGCAGCTCACAAATAACGCGCGATGCGACCGCTTCAACAATGAAAACGACTGTTCAAAATTCGGTGCGGAGAGCCTGGATGGTTTTATGCAATAAAATCAAGTCAAATTTATTACCTTAACACAAAATAGTAGTAAAAGTTTACAATCGTTCGTCACACTTCACGCATCAAATACGTACGAATCCATACACTATCTACTTTCTAGAACTAGATTCTAACTAAAAGGCACCATGTTCATATACTCAAATGTTATTTAATTGTAGGTTTTTAAAGAGCCTAATTTAGGCATAACGTAACATTAACTGGAGTCCGGATTAGTTTACTTCTCTGACTAATTTTATGGTAACAAGAATGCCTAAACCTTTGCCCAACATACCTACATCTATAATATAAAAAAAATGAATCGCGAAATGTGTTGGTAAGCGCTTAACTCAACAACGGCTGGACCAGTTTTGCTAATGGGGAAAATTAGGAAATAGTGACCCTTTGATAGTGACATATTTGGACCCGTACGAAGCGTAATGATTAAAAATGTTCAAAACAGCTAAATCAATTTCGGTAGAATTTTACAAAATCTTAGACTGTTGATCCTAAAATATAATTTTTCAAATTCATTTGTGTCCTATTATTTTTGTTTTTTTATCGTCCTTTTCCAATGGATTTCATCCTATTGCCATTATCTAACACTGGTCCTTTGCCACGTTACTAGTTACTCGTTATCACCTATCAAGTAACGGCCATCATCATCAGCCTATATAAGTGTCCACTGCTGAGCAAAGGCCTTCTCTCATTCGGAGAAAGTTTTAGAATTAATCACTACGCTTGCTCAACGCGGATTGGCAGTTTCAAACTTAGAAATTATAAGTCCAGTTTTTCTCACGATGTTTTCCTACATCGTGTATAAGTGGTGTCCAAATAATCATAGAATATAAATATAACTCGGAAAAAGACATATTTGTACTTGCCAGGTTTCGAAACTGCACCCTTATTCATGAGAAGCGTCTGAATCACCGGTCCACCACGACCACGACTAGTAACGGTAATAAAACGTTTTTAAGGGGTATAGTCATCCAATGGCTTCTTCCCCTCTATGTTGGGGGACTGGGGGAGATAGGAAGTGTCACTTTCTTGCTGACTCAAAACCAACTCTTCCTTCCTTCTTCCGTTCCTTCTCCTGCTTTGAGCCTAGCTGCAGTAAATTATACTTTTTAAGGGCTGATTTTTCAATAGTAAGATAAAAGTTACCTAGGGAATTATTATGATGCTGTCGCGTCGGAATGTTTTTATAAGACAGTGACAGCAACAACTTTATTCCTCAGATAACATTTATTTGACTATTGAAAAATCAGCCCTAAAGTCAATATTTATTTATGACAACAGACTAGTTTTCTTTACAGGTTTTGAACTACAGAGCCGTGATAGCCTAACAGCTATTGTCAATTAACTTTTAAGGAAATAACTAATCGAATTTAGTTCTTATCGCTAACTCACATGTTGTGTTTGTTAGCTGTTGTTACAACTCGATTCTTGATCGTTTAATCATAACAATCGATGACGTTGAACTGTAAACGAAACAAATATTCGATAACGGTTAACTTTAAATGACTTTTTCCATTACTTGATTGAAAATTAGTAATTTTTCCAAGAGAAAAATTAATTCTTCTCTAGTTTTTTTTTTATGTTATAGATCGGCCAACGAGTTGACGGATTACCTGATGGTAAGCAATCAGCGCCGCCCATGGATACTCGTAATAGCAAATAAGTTGCTACAAGTCTATTGCCAACCTCTTGTGAGATATTAGAGATTGAAGGATAGGGGATTTCAGGATTGAGGATTGAGCTCTTAAGTCAAGGCATCAATGGGTCGGCTCGACCGGAATGATATCACGACCTCATAGAAAAACCGGCGTGAAACAACAACAGCGTCGCGTTTCGCCGTGTGAGTGAGGTTTCCGGAGGCCCAATCCTTCCCCGCCTCCAATCCCTAAATCTCCAATCCCCTAAGGTCTCTAATCCCCAAAGGTTTGACAACGCACTCGTAACTTCTCTATTGTTGTGGGTGGCGATTTTTGCTTACCATCAGGTAGGCAATCCGTCTGCTGGCTTAACAGAAGGTTGGCCGTGAATTTCTTAATTTTATTTTTGATATACATAGTTTACGCGGAAATGATTATCTGCTGCTGGTATTAATGATATTCTAAATTAGGCAGAGAAACAGGTAACACATGACACATTTACTTTAAAAAAAACATTGAAGAATTTACATTGTCCTCTAAATTCACTGTTGTTTTCATCCGAACTAGATATTCCGGTTTCTTAGTGAGGTTAAAAAAAATAGGAAGTTTTTTTTTTTAATTAAATTATGATTGGTTGCTACTGTCACAGCTAGCCGAAGTTAATACCCATCTTCTCCTTCTGCATAACCACATTTTATTCTATTTGCAATATATGTAGGTAGGTACATATTATATGTGTGTAGTGGAATGTTACAATCAAATTTTGAAGTAAATATCTATAACTTTCCTTTAAATCCATAAAAATGTCCTTTTTCCTGATATTTTTAATGCATGTGATAAAGACGTGACAAATGTCAAAAATCGATCGTAACTAGAAGATTTTGAATAAAGAACAATTGGGCCATAAGTTGACACAAGACAGCATTGCGTAGCTACAATAAAATACCTACTTGCGCTATTTGACATAGTTACATATTTTTTATTACCTTCATATGTACCTACCGTTTCAATAAACAATTTACTTATTTATATTAATATAATTACAATAGCTTTGTACATAACTTTCTTGTAGGTACTTTTACAAACATAAGGCAAAATACAACATATACAAAATAATGTAAGCAATATATTGAACAGGTAACAAAACAAAGAAAATAATTTTATGGTTAGTTACAGTAGGCAATACGTTTACCTTGTTTTTCCTAATCATTATGTAATCATATTTATTTATTCTTAATAATTGCATATCGGAGGACATAATGGCAATTGCATTTGCTACCAGTCATACTTTATGAATAAAAAAAATCCGCTCAGCATAATTAAAAAAAAAATGGGATCTTGTTTTTTTTAACTAGTGTAGATATATTTAACGTGTACGATATAATTATCGTACATCACTAGTCACCATAAAGTAGCAATTCTTTTTTCGAAAGAATTTAAAATGAATCTGTCAATTAATTGGATACTTTATGAACGTGCAAATGATAAATGAAACGGCCTTCGCAAAACAGTGTCTAATACAAAATAATAATTGTAGACTATAGATGTCTTTTGGTTTTATGTCTTATACATTCAATTGGATTTATTTGTTCATTGAACGCTAAGCCTACACTGTAACAATCTGCAACTTCTGCAAGTATCACAAACACAGATCGATTGCAAAAAAATAAATATTTTACTAGCTTTAAGTATTTTTAGAACATTATTGAAAATATTATAGATAAATTCTTTAACCTCTTTTCTCAGTTCTCGTCTCGCATTGCATACGTCTACGTATTTTTTTGTTTGTTTTCTCATTGCACATTCATAATTAACTAACTGGTATGATTTTTTGTTTTTTACAAACGCTGTGTCTATTATCAGCTTTAGGGTATTGTCATAAGGTCGAAAATGTATTAAAGTATTAAATCATTAGAACTACTGGCGACTGTATATGTAAAAAAGAACGAACAATGAAGGTCACTACACGTATAATATAATAGTTTTAATAAATTTAATAAATAACTCTATGCAAGTATTTACTGCCAAGTTATTTGCTTATTTATCGATAAAATTATGAACACTTATAATTTATTGTTTTTATTTTTATATCCATTTACTAGAAAACGATTGGACTGCTTGCTTACTGATAAAAAATATATTATGTAAATATGCTTTGAAATAACATTTCGAACGTACTCGTAAGTACATATTTCTTCTGACTTGCCATATTATTATGATCCACACCAAATGTTTTTTTTTTTTAAATCTACTTAGCATCACGCCTGGTGCTAAGCGATAATGCGACCTACCATATCCGCCAAAATTGTAACTTCAAATTAATAACAACATAAAAATTAAAAATATAAAAATGTCGTGGTCGCCCAGAGGTCAAGGAGCCTGCTTTCTCATGCATGAGGGTGTGGGTTCGAAACCTGGCAAGTAAAGTGACTTTTTCCGAGTTATACATGTACTTTCTATGGTTATTTAGACACCACTGGCATACGGTGAAGGTATACATCGTGAGGAAACCTGGACTTATAATTTCTTATTATAAGTTTTAAATCGCCAACCCGCATTGAGCAAGCGTGGTGATTAATGCTCAAACCTTCTCCGTGTGAGAAGAGGCCTTTGCTCAGCAGTGGGCACTTATAGGCTGATGATGATGATGAATAGCAATATATGACAATTCACAATAACTTTAGCATAGAATTATAGCTAAGTTAAATATAAAAAAGACTTACCTTAAATAATTCGGATGAATTTTGACAGTTTGAATGCCAATGGCGGCGGTCACGGGGCGAGGCCAGAGCCCGCCAAACCTGCCACAGACGGTCCGGCAAGCATCCATACTGGGAAACACCATGGCGCTGTGGTTCCTGGTGCTGGTCTCAAAACCTGGTTGAGGGTGCGTCGTCCTCTCACAACCCTCATCTGGTACACATCTGTACCTCCATGCTGGCCTGGTAGAAGAAGAAGGATTATCAATTAATGTTAAGTTATTTTTTATGACATTGGTCGGCAAACAAGCTGAGATTACCTGATGGTAAGCAATCGGGCCGCCCATGGACACCAAAGGAGTTATGAGTGTGTTGCCGGCCTTTTGGGATAAGGCTTTCGGATATTTAAGGATTGGGAAGGGATGCCTCCGGTAACCTCACTCACCACGTGTGTTTCACGTAGGTTTTTTGTAAGGCCGTGGTATCACTTCCATTCGTTGTGAATAAGGTTACCCTCCTACAATCCCTATCCTCAAATCTATAACCCCCATAAGGCCGGTTACGCGCTTGTAACGCCTAATGTCCACGGGTGGCATTGATTGCTTACTGTCAGGAGATCCGTCTGCTCGTTAGCTGATCTGTCGCGTAAATAACCAATCTCATATAAAACGTTTCTTTCCGAAACGTCACGTCATTTAAAACCCAAAGATAGAGGCCGAAGTGCGTAGTGCATTATAGTGTTAAACCCCAAGGACAGACAAGTACATAGCGCGTTATAGCATTATTATTAGGTGCATATGCCATAAGTATCATGACTTCTTTCCCCTTTTCTTCCTCTTCTCCTATACAATTCCAACCTATAACCTATCGTACGAATATGAATGGAATAGATAGAAATATCCAAAATTGGCTATCCTGGGGATCTTAAAAGCCCTACACCGCAGGTGCGGGACCAACTAACAATGCAGTATACATATTTCTTTTATAACTAACTATAAAGGTATAAATATGTACTTACGTGTATGTATGAGCTATAGCAGCGTCATCTGGCGAAAGATACGCGCGGTTAAATGAGAAGAGTTGCACTAATAATATGACCAATATGGTCATAAGACACAGCTTCGCCATGGCTCCCTGTCGAACAAAGAAAAGGAACAATTTAATTACAACACCAAGAACCAGTTCACCTCTCCAATATGTGTACTTTGAGGAAGGAAAATCATCAAATGACTTCTCTGTGTTAGACTCTTACTGACTAAAACCACCCTGTTCCTTCAGCTGAAGGCCTACCCTGATGAGAAAGAGGGATGGAGCTATAAAAGGTGTATAGCTCCATCCCTCTTTCTTTCCCGAAAGATTGACGCTATAGCACATTAGGGTAGGCCCTCTGCTTCAGGCTTAGTCCGCCGAATATTATTGGGCTTTCCCCATTTTCATTTATCCCGGTAGCATACCTATGGGAACCTCATAACTTAACTAGCAGATATTTCATGTAACAAAGTTCTACGTTCAAATTTAGAAAATACTGGTCAGTAAGATTGGTCACAAACCTTTTTACTGCGTTAAAACTTTTTTTAGTTGATGGTGAAAAAGTATAAATGCAATACCCTGTAAAATTATCCGAAAGGACCATAGTTTCATTCTACCACATGCCTCATTAGATTACGCCTTTTAAATTAAATGTGATGTATATTTATAGTACGATTAATAACCTAAATCTTTAGTTAAATATATTCAAAACTCGTAAACAGCTTAATCGATTTATCATGTTTATGTCTTTGCATTTTAAAATCCTCAAAAAATACTTAAATTGAATCGAACATTAGTCCTTCGAGCGACCTAAATGGCGCCGCTTCAGCTTATAAGTTTTACGGGCTATGCTAGGTTATTTAGGTTTGTTTAGTGAATTTACTCATTTAGGAATTTTCTGCGTAAAGAAACCCTGAGCATGCTGAGCGATTTTAAGTCTCTCTAGAAGTCCAAAAGTCAGGGACCACTTTCAGTACCCCAAGCCATCACTGGCAATACACTGCTTGAACACCCTGGTCTTTAGGCAGAGTGGAATTTTTTGATGAGAAGACCGTGGTTTCGGATCACCCATTTCTATACATACTATATAACGCCATATTTTTTTTCATAGTACCAATTTTTAAATGTATATATAAATAGAATTATAACGATTAAGAAAAGTGCTAGCATTATGTCTTATGACAATTTATTTCCTAATAATACAAGCATATTTGTTTCTTAGCCACAAAATCAATTAGTGTTCGTGTGTGTTATGTTAATACGATTTACGATTAACGAGATTTTTTACCGCGCCGCACTGTATCTGACGGAGCCAACTGTGGGTTTGAAATTAGCCGCAGAATAAAACTGCTAGAGTGGGTTTTGGCTATAAAATGACTCCGGACTACTAGACCGATTTAAAAACGTATTTTACGTTTCAATTTCAATGTAAGGGCCACTGACACCCCGGGCGATAATATTATGGCACCCAATTGAGGGAACTATATCAAGTGTTAATTTTTTGCTGATCGTATTGATATCGTTAGAGTATATTAGAGGAAGTTGATTGATATCGTTAGAGTCACTCCTCGACTACAAACCCTAAAAAATCCGTCTAAAAAATCTCAATAACAAAATATGCATATGCACAGTTCTGTGGGTTTGCACCAGGAGAGGCAAGAGACTCCAACTTCAGACCTTTGCGCCCCCCAGAATTTGTCGTCCTGGGCCATGTCCCCCCCCCCCTCCCGCCACCTCCTAACGCCAGCACTGGTTATGATACACTACAATCTAAACCAGAAACCGAGGCATTTCTTTTTGAGGATGGAAAAAGTCTCTATCACCCCACGTGGGATGAGAAAGAGTCTTAGTGAGAAAACTGACAAAAATATCACCAACAGCGTGACGCCGTCTCATAATCAGAGCCGGGACCGTGCAATGGCACAATATTGCGCTTACCCGCAACCCTGGCAGCGGAACGTGACCTGACTATTTGTAATGGGACCAGAGCCTACCTGATAGAAATCTGGACAAAAGCTAGAGAAAAAAAATTAAACAACGAATTTGCAGAATTTAATGATGCGTCCATATTTGGCGCCCATACGCAACTTTCTGGCGTGTTACAAGTGCGCAGATTGGTTGATTACACGTTCGAGAGACATGGAGATAATTAAAAGTACTTATTAATAATACGATAGTCTATATTAATATTATAAAGAGGTAAAATTTGTATGTGAGGGGTAATCTTTGGAACCGCTGGTCGATTTGCCAAAATTCTTTCACTGATAGATAGCTACAATGTTCCTGTAAGTGCTATAAAACATCACGCTACGGACAAATGGTGCCGAGCAGCGGGGAAACCGCGCGACAGTAGCTAGTAAAGCATAATATCGTATAATTATAATTAATTATTACTTAGTAGGTATAACCGACTTAATTAAATTAACTGACGAAGTTAATAAAAATAAGTCGTTCACATTTCTGTATCTATAGTGATACCTATACATTATTTGCATATGTTTTATTTATAATATGGCTTAACCAAACATGGATGCAGTCTTATTGTGTACACCCGACGCGCGACGCTCGCGTGCAAACTAACGGAACTTGCGCAGGCGCAGTGCCCATAGTGCGCCTGCGCAGCGGAACTATCACACGAGACTTCCGAACACGCGATTTATTTATGTATGTTTGTATATACATGCAAGAGATATGAGGAAGAAGCCTTTTTTACTTTAAAGAAAAAAATGTTTAAAGAAACATGTGCAGATAGCGAAAACTTTTGTAGGTAGGATATAATGCCTCTTGTTTTAAATTTAACAATTTAAGTATTTATGTAGGTACAGACCCAGTCATATATGTATGTATAACTTAATCAGATCTTCAATGTCAACCACAGCGTAATGCAGAATTGTAAACAATATGTGTAAACAAAAATGTTACACATACAATACCTACTATGTATTTGTATTCATACATAATAATAACAAAATATACCTATTTGATCCACAAATATTTGTTCCAGGTCTGCGTGGCTTGTGTATGTGACATTGTATGTTTGTAAACGTACACACGACACAGGAGAAAATCCTTGTGTTAAGCAAAGTTTAAAAAAAAAAGTAGATAGGTAGCATGCATTATTCGCCTCCCGACCAGAACCAGACCTTAGCGTCGAATTTCCCCTGGGACTCAAAGAGCCATTAGATAACCATATATGGATGGGGCCTAATAAGACCGATGTCTAGGCCAGGACTCTAGCACGGATCAGAAGAAACAGCGTGGTTTTAAACAGTAAGATTCTGATACACATCTGCCCCCCCCCCTCCCCCCTAGAAAGCTAAAGTGATTCTATCTACATCTACATATTTTAATTGTGTGCTATCCTAAAACTTGATATTATAAGTATCTCTGCTAAACCTTCGTACTTCAAACTAAGTTAATAAGCATAAAACACCTGTCTAAACATTTAAATATTATGCGTAGGTACTTTTCTTATTATTAGATTCCTGATCTTACTTAAAGAACTTACAGTCAACAATGGATACAATTGAACAAAGTTATTTATTTTATTAATAGTCGGATCCACGAAGGGAGGATTAAGGCTGTCTAAGAGGAGAGGAAGGACCATTAACATTGTCTTACCACTCTTAAAAGAAGGAAATGATACATATTCAATATAATTATATTACTTTCTTCTAACCCAACCCGGGTTGCGGGGTAAGCGCAATGAGGCACCGCGACCTCGGCCCAGAGCAGGAGAAGGAACAGGGGGGTTTTTAGTCAGTAAGAGTCTGACACTCCCTCCCGCCCGGCCCTGGGCGGGAGAAATCATTTGATGATTTTCCCCTCACAAAAAGAAAAACCCTAAAACGTGTTGCAACATACGCTCTGGCGCTCAGCGGCTTCTTCGTATAATAGGTACGTAAATGCAGTTGTTTCCAATTACTAAATTTCAGTATCGACTTTTATTCAATTGTAAATTCAAAAGACAGTTTATTATCACAATTGTATGTGTATGGATAATTCATGAATAATTCACTTATGATATCAAAATACACATATTATTCTTTAAAATTTACTAGAAAAAAAAAACGAGATTTGTGTAGGTAACTATATCGACAAATAAGTGAGTGAAAGTATAATTATTATTTTCAATATTTTTTGTAATGAAAAGTAAAATGATTGATTTCTGACAAAGAAAACTATACACACATATCCGATCTCCATCATCCAATTTTTCTCCGTTAATCTTAAACTTCCATTTCCGAGAAAAAAGTTTATAGACCAACAAAACCAAATTAGATAGGTAACTATTTATTACTTGTGCGCATTACGTCAAAGGAAAATAAAATAATAGAATTTATATATTTTAGAAATTAAAAATCCCAGTTTGCAGCGACTTAATAAAAAAATACTTAAAGTCGTAATATAACACAATAATTTACAGCGAATTTTCGGGGGACTCCAATCGGATACGGAGCGGACTATGGAATAATTTCCAAATACGGTCTATGTTTTACCTACCCTCATTTTCACACTTTGGTATCGGATCGTTCTAACCAAACCTACCCAAGTGAGTGTTCAAAAATCCCGATGTTTTTCTAAGGTTGATTTTTCAATGATTAGATAAAAGTTACCTAGGGAATATTTATGATGCTGTCGCGTCAGAAGGTTTGAATAAGACAGTGATTTTATTCCTCAGATAACATTTATCTGACTATTGAAAAATCAGCCCGAAGTAGAAAATGGTTGACTTGTCTGTTTTTCAAAAAAAAAAAGTAACTACGGTGTTTTTCGCTCGTTCTTCTCCGCATGCATCTAGTTTAACTGACGAACAGACTGACAGACTACTTATTCTACCTATACGTTTCAAAAGTGGTTTAGTAGTTGGAATTGGTTTTTATCCACAAATTTTAGCATCCTCAACCCAACACGAAAAATATTAATTATTTTTTCGAAATAAATCTTTCATACTTTAAACTTACGTACAAAAAATAGCTTTATCAAGCAGTTTTTTTTTTGTGTTAACTCAAATGCAGTTGCACTTGTTCATTCATGTAAAGAAAGAAAGAAAATATTTATTTGTGAGAATGCACACATTCTACCGAATTGGTGTACACATTATTTAGTTTTATATCTAGTTATAACTTTGCACTACTTATTTTTAATCTATGATAGGTCATCTAAATAATTTTTAGTGCAATAATAACATTTATTTAGCAAGAACTCAAACAATTTTCTTTTAAAAGACATTAGGTTAAGATTTTTAGGTCATTTGGAAGTTTATTGTAAATTTTGATAGCCATGCAATATGAGTTTCTGCTATATAATGTTGTGCGTGTATAAGCGCAAGTCCACTTTAAAACAGAAAAATTACTTAAGTAAAAACGGAAAGCCAAGAAAATTTACATGAAATTAATATAGATACTTACATAATATCTGATCTTACGTCTATATGACATTATTAATTTGCCACTTTTATATTATTTACTTACCACTAAGCTTTAACTGATTCGAAACACAGAATATATATCTACAAAGCACTCATAGTCCAACTAAAATCCTTAATGGCCTAACGCTAGTATTTATTCCATCAAAAAAATTGATAAGTTAATTGCAGGATAAGTAACAATAAATGTAAGATAACTGATACAATCAAAGACAATTAAACGGTCGTGTATTCTGAAATACTGATAAGATCAGGATTTATCTGATAACAAAACTTTTTTCTTAAACTTATCTGAACTTTCTCTTGTTTCCTGTTTCCTGAAGTACTTATTGTATTTAAACACATACTATGCGATGTCCACTCATATCAACAATGACAACGCTCACAATGTGACAAGTGTGGGAGAGCCAAGATTCGGCATGAATAGGTCGGCTCAACCGGAATGATACCACAGCTTCACAGAAAACTGGAGTGAAACAACCACACACGCACCAAACTGTGTTTCACCGTGTGACTGAGGTTACCGGAGGCCCAATCCTTAAAGGGCCGACAATGCACTCGTAACTCCTCTATCTTTGCGGGTGTCCATGGGCGACGCTGATTGCTTACCATCAGGTAATCCGTTTGGTCGTTTGTCGACCTATCACATAAAAAAAAACTACTTTTCGCTGAGTCGCAATTTTGCATATATGTATATGTGTCGATTTTATGACAGTACTGCAGTTCTGATAATGAAATTGCATTCCTATAGAAATCGGGCTCGTTAGAATCGTACTGATGGGTGGTTGGTCTTTCAATAGTAATCAGGGTCAGGGGAATTGGGGAATAGAAGAGGAAAAGGATTAAGCCTCCAGTTAGCTCCAGTTATATAAGGACTCGCAAGTCCTTACGAATCGGATACCGCACGTTAGAATAAAAAAAAAACTCATTTCATATTATTTTATTTAATGTTGATAGTCGTTTTGTTTAAATCAGGAAATACTGGTTCGATATGAATGAAGAATTACTGTTGTGCTGGATTTGGATAGTCCGTTTATTGAAGGAGACTATAAAATATCACGCAATGATAAATAGCTCTAATATTTTTATATAGAATATGGAGACTTTCATAAAAATGTATAGTTTGCAAACAGACTTCGGTAAAACGCCACCTAAAAAACTACCTACCTACAATTATAAATTCCAGATCAGCGTATCAGAAATTTATTTGAGACTTTTAGTAACGCAGTACATCGGAAACCAGATGAAACAGTTGTTAAATAAAATTAGGTATCAGAACTACCTACCTACCTACTTGTCGATTTCTAGAATTAGACCATATTTTAGAACCAAACTAATTAATCTACACCACTAAGAACTAATTATAAATACATACTTAAGAATGATGTATGACAGATGCAAAAAATATCAGATAGGTACAAATAAGTTGTCAGTGCATTAAAATAATTGAAAATAAATAACAACCTAGCCCTTTCACGATTATAAAAGAATACTTTCTATTTTATTACAAAAAAATGACGATCTGTTCCTTGGGGTTCTTATCAAACACAAGTAGGTACGGTCTAGGATCAAAAGTGCAATTGCACTTTTCCAATGCGAAAATATGTAAAACTTCTTTATAATAAAACTCAAAAATCTAAAAATCTGTTGTTATTTACTTTAGAATCTATGCTACAAGTTAATCAGTAAAGAAATCTCTGACCCTCAACCATAAAAACCATTTAGACACTTTAGCATTGGTAAAGTGCAACTGCACTTGTGACTCTTACTGTAACTTTATTGTTTATGGTAGGCATATTATCATAAGCATAAGCTTACCGTTTTTGCTTTTAAAACAACCTTTCAGGCGGTATTTTCATATTACTTGTTTTAAAATATATTAGAAACTTATTGAAACTATGTCTTAAGAAATACTTTAAAAAATGTTGCTTATCATTATCGTAGCCAGGTCAATGATAAGTCAAGAAATATTATTAAGCATGTATCAGTCACTAATTACCCTGTATTTATCAGCAATGTCCATGCCATTATGTTGTAAATATCATAATTATTTTTATTTTTCTAAGCAAATCGCGCACGGTTGTGCCACTAACCCAGTTGGTAACACAAACTTGTTATTGGCATTACTGTTTAAGTATGTAGTAGGTACATTAAAAAAAAATGAACACACGACAGACAGAAAAAAGATTGCGATTGTCAAGTTTTGTAGGTAATTGGCGAAGTGTATTGACCCACAAAGTGTGTAGGCGCACAGTGTGTTAATAAATGTATGCAAAGTAACTCACTCGTATGGTAATGAAGAGGACGCTCGCTCCGAATGAAAGTTGCGAATAATTCTATTAAATATTATAGTCACTTATACACAAACTTACTAAACAAGAAACTAAGAACACTGCTTGATCAACAGTTCACAGCACTAACACTTTAACATTCACCTAGATAATGGTTATCTTATTTTAACTTAGATAATAATTCGTGGCTTGCTTGCTTTCAATAACACCAAATACATTTATCTAAACACAAAACGATATTCCACGAAACGTTTTAAACGTAACTGAAATTCAAAGCGGACATTTCTGTTTTCCTTTTTCGCTTTTATACACGAACGCAAACGCCGACAACTAAACCGGACCGCGAAGTTTTTGTTTTATTTATTATGTAGGTACTTTGTATTTGTTGTGTTTTATTTTATTGTGTATGCACGCAGGATGTGTTCGCGGCGCGAAGGTCGCTTGTGCTTTGACTCTGTGGCCGATTACGGACGGCTATAAGTTATTTTGTTATAGATTAATTAATGCCGCCGCCGCCGCTCCGGAGCCATTCGCATTTTGATAAACGCGCGCGTGCGGGCGCAAGGCGCGAACCGCTCTGATTGGTCGACTCGACGGAGCGGACACCACGCGAGAACTGAGCATTTTGGCGGGACCACTGCTTTCAGCTCTATAGAAACTGCTTTTTGAGATATAAACTTTACCTCTCTACTGCCTTGAACTTTGTTACATGCACCATGCACTAGATGTGTACTACTTGATAGACACATACCCACTTCGCACTTATTACCAAGCGATTCCTATTATTTTAAACCATATTAGGAGGAAATATCCGGATTTCCATCATTAAAATTTGAACTTGTATGTTCGTTTTCTTATATTAGGGGCAGCAAGTGGGAATCTATAGCCGAACCATCATCTAACATATTCAAATAGCACTACGATTGAAGAGGCTCATTCCAATTCCTTTTGATGTCTTGTGAAAGTGAAATATAAATACTTACTTAAATTACTAACGCCAATTTATTCATCAGTCGCAGCAGATTAATCAATTACTTAAATTGCCAAAAGATCCTTTAATCCTATTCTAATTGTAAAAATAAATTTTCCAGCAAATACTTCCTAAACATGATCATTTCTAAATCAATACGCATCTAAACAATTCATTACATTATTATCGACCACAACTGACAAACGTGGCCAATATTTTATAAGGTAAAGAAACTGAGACATTGCAGTTTTTGAACGACTGATGGTGGTCTCAGACTAATTGGGCGTTGTACACTAACATTTCTAAAGTCGCCAATGTAAACCGATCATTTCGATGTTTACGAGAACGAACGACCTTAACGCACTCGCTTTGAACTGAGATCTCAGTAAACTGGATCAAACAGGTGCAGGTACCCAACGAATACGCGAATAGCCCTTCTTCCCGTGACGTCAATACGAACAAATGAAGCCAAACACGCCTCTACATATTACACAAACTCTGTCACACACTCCTCTAAAACTGTGTCATAATAGTTTAAAAATATTGTTGTATTTTTAAATTAAATCCTCCTATTGTTGAACTAGTTTCGAAAAAAACAACACTCTTGTTCATTTGTAAAATATAAATCACGAAAATTTGTAGGCAAAATATCAGTTGTGTTGACAGATTCATTTTCATTTACTTACAGCCACAGGACGTTTCAATTTTGGACTGTATTAAATTATTAAGTAAATATTTGCGTGTTGTGTTTACCGTAGACGTAAACAAAAATAATTATTGATATCTGTTAAAGTACGTTTGCACAGTTTACATTAACTACAAGATAATGTTGATATAATAAAAAATATTTGTTTACGCACTCATTTTGTGACTTCTTCATAAAGGAATTTGAAATTCGCAGTCAATATTCAATCAAACAGTTCAGTCCAGTAAAGCAGGTACTTGACATCCTATAAATAATCCTGGAGATTTAATTCCCAAGATTCTCTCTTTAGAAAGCAGATTTATAGTTACTCAACACTGCTTGGCATTTTCGCAGTACATTATGAGTATGAGGGTATAAAACAAAATTGCTTGCCACTGCCTGTCCCTATTTATGCTCAGGTCTACAAAACTAATTGACAGATTTGATTGAGATTGAAATCGCGGGCAGGAATCTAGTCAAATTATAAATGTTATTTGCTCCGACCCATAATCCATCGGACATACAAATAATAAAATCTCAAAAATATACTCCATCAATCACGGATTTTCTTCTCAAGTAAATATTAAGGTGAATACAATTGATAATACTCTATACCATATTGCAAATAACTATATGTTTACTTTGATGTAGATAAACATTGTTTTTATAATGAACGCTTTGGTCTTTCAGGGCTCAATAACTGAATGTACTAAGATATATTTGTTACAAATTCTCTTATTAAGAGTTGAATGATGTAACTGGTGATTAATATTAATAAGTATGGCCTTTAGATGCATCCGACCCGTCGGCACAGAGCTGTGATAATAACTGACCTCATTTGACTTCAATCCCGTTAGCTCGAATACGGTGCAGCTATGGTGCGAAACACGAAACACGCCATTGTTCGTTTCACCCGTGGCAACAAAGGTTAAGATTTTATCTTTTTTTAATGCATTTTATAGAATAAACGTTCTGTGGAGTATATTTGTCACAACCAATCTTTCTGTGGCTGTGAAAACAGACGATGAACGAGCTGAACATACGTACAGTCTATCGGTTTAGGTTAAAAGGTCGTATAAACTAGGGCGCCTTACCATCAAAAATTGCATCACTGCTTACCATCAGGTGGGATCGCAGTCAAGCACTAGTTTATAGCAAGTAATTTTTTTTTTATGGGATTTGTCGGCTCTATAGAAGACTGATTA